TATGCTGGGGATTATTAGGAAGGGTATTGAAAACAGATCAGCCAATATAATAATGCCCCTATATAAATCAATGGTGAGACCTCATTTGGAATACTGTGTGCAGTTCTGGGCACCACACCTTAAAAAGGATATTATAGCTTTGGAAAAAGTGCAGAAAAGGGCAACTCGAATGATAAAAGGGTTGGAACACTTTCCCTATGAGGAAAGGTTAAAGCGCTTAGGGCTCTTTAGCTTGGAGAAAAGATGACTGAGGGGTGACATGATCGAGGTTTATAAGATTATGCATGGGAATGAGCAGGTAAAGAAAGAGGTACTTTTCTCCCTTTCTCACAATACAAGAACTCGTGGGCACTCCATGAAACTGCAGAGCGGTCGGGTTAGAACGGATAAAAGGAAGTACTTCTTCACCCAAAGAGTGATTAACACATGGAATTCACTGCCACAGGAAGTGGTGGGTGCTACAAGCATGGACGGCTTCAAAAGGGAATTAGATAAGCATATGGAGCAGAGGTCCACCAGTGGCTATTAGCCACAAGGTATAGCTAGGGGCTCTGGGGCAAGTGATGCTCTGTCTTCTTGGTGCTTGGGGGGGGTCAACAGTGGGAGGGCTTCTAATGTCCTGGCCCCACTGCTGGACCTCCTGATGGCACTGGTATTTCTGGCCACTGTGTGACACAGAGTGTTGGACTGGATGGGCCTTTGGCCTGATCCAACATTGGCGTCTCTTATGTTCTTATGTTCTTAAGAATAAGTACCACTGTGTTCATAAGATTGCAGCCATAGCATACAGTGAAATCTTAAGCAGTGTCATACCCTTCTAAACCCACTGACTTCTGCTTAGGACTGCACCGTTTATGGTTCAAAAATAAAGGGAAAAAATCTAAACTGTTTTAAGAACTGATTTTTATGCTAGGTAATATAATGGTTGTGGTTGTGGAAGGAATCGGTGCCATGTGGAAAAATGAAAACTAAAGCAATGATGGATAACAGCAGCACTACCATTGTAGAAAATGCTGAAGCTAAATACTGTGTTCCATGATAAGAACGTAATGTCCAGGGGTTTTAAAAATATGTTGGTGAGCCCTTAGTGGGGCAAATAGTGGCCTGGGAAGCACAGAACTCCGGATGTCTCTCAGGCTGACCCAGGGACATTACCAGGGAATAAGTAGCAGGTAGTAGTAGTATCCACAGTTGGCATGGTGCACATTTCACAATCCTGCAAGTGAACCATATAGCATAAAATTTGGTATTGGGCAGAGGATCCCGAGAATCAGATTCTGTATTAGGTTTTTTTTTTTACATATTTCTAGCCCTTTGAATGTATGTAAACAATAACCCCGTCCACACACAATATGGCATGTATCCTACAGAGCATTTCTGTGGAGGAAAATAAGATGTGTGTGTGTGAGATTTTTGCCACTTCATCCCTTCCACTACAGACCTCTAACTCCAATCCTGCGTTGCTCCTGCAGGTCCCCAGTCCCCCAAGAACAGTAGATATTAGGGCACCATCTGATTCAGTAAAGAAGTTTTAGGTTTTAAATTATAACAGCATGGATTTTAAAACTCTAATATGTTGAATTTACTGTATTTAGATTGTTGTAAGCTGCCCTGAGCCCTACCTGGCAGGGATTGGAACAGCATTTAAGTTTAATAAAATAAATAACCAAAGAGAGTGAAGAACTTCCTTCCTGACACTTCTGTCCTATATTACAGCATGAAAGAAAATAGGGTTGTTTTTTGTATATTTTAAGTTTTAACTTAGTTTTTAATATTGGCCTTTTATTTGACTTTTTTCATACCCTTGTGGTTCTTGATTCCAGTTTTTGGGTCAGGTTTATTTTCCTCTCTCTGTGCCTTACTAGGGTATTACTACAACAGGAGGATTTATTTATTTATTTATTTGGTGAGTATTTTGTATGTGTGTGCTTGGAAGTCATGGTTAACTTTTGGCGACCCCTAGTGGGGCCTGAACATTTCAGAGAGGTGGCTTATTATTGTCTGTCTCTGCATCCCAGCCCTAGTATTCCTTGGAGGTCTCCCTTCCAAGGACCTGCCAGAGTTGGCCCGGTTTACCTTCCAAGATCTCACGAGATTGGGCTTGCCTGGGCTATCCAGCTCAGGGCAACAGGAGGATTTCTCATTCCTCCACTAACAGTAGCAACAGGGGCTCCACATGGCAGGCTTTCAAACATTTCCACTGTACCTTCCCTGTTCTCCCAGCAGCAGTTACCACTGCCACCCTCTGCACCACTGAGGTTTTCTCAGCCTTTTTAAAAATAAAAATGGCAATTGAATATTGTTATAACATTAATCAGATTCTCTGAATTCTTAGCTTTTATTTTTACAAAATAAATCCCTAGCCCCTTTTGTTGTGGAGATATAAAGGAAAAGGGGCTAGAGGTGTATTTTTAAATTCCACTGCAAAAGGGGCTAGAGGTGTAGTTTTAAAAAGTTATTCACGTATTGTTATAATGATAATCAATGGCTGATTTAAAACCCCCAAAGAGCCCCCCAGTGGCAAGAGGGAGGAAATGGCTGCCCCAGGGAATAAGTTATGAAAAATGGCTGCCAGGACTATGGAAATCTGAACATTCCTGCCTATTCTGCAGCCATCTGGGCTTTGCTGCTATCTTTCCCAAAACTTTCCCACAAAGCAGGTTTGGAAGTAATCAGACAAAAGCCAACGAAAACATGGGAGGTGCACAAATGCATCGCGATTCTGTGGGGAAACAGGAGAAAAAAGTCATAGTCTAATGACACTGAACAGATAAAAGACAGCTTATACACCATGAGATCTCCATTAAGCATTGTAATGATTTAAAGTTTCAAATGTGCGTTTCTGTAAATGTTTGGTAGGTTGCAGAAGGACAGGGGGGGGTGAAAGAGGAGGATGAGTGAGTGAGGTGATTGGTTGGTGACTGAGAGTGTATGGGCGGAGCTAAGAAGTGTGTGTGGAGAAAGTCAGTCAGTGTGTTCAGCCAGCAGGCAGCAGGCAGTTGTGGTCAGTCAGCAGTCTACAGAGTCTGAGAAGCAGGCTTCTGATAGAATCCCATATTAGTGCTGTGAAAAGCATTTAAGATTCTAAAAAGGAAGTAGAATACTTTAGAGGACATATTAGTGACTAGAGAGAGTCAAAACCTAATATTATCAGAGTATCATAAGTGTGTGAGAGTGAAGCTGACAGAACCTGAGTTACGCAGTGAAAGATTAAACTGAGCTAAATAAAATAAAGATTGGGCAATGTACATTCTGAAGAGAAAGGAGGATTTGAGAGTGAGGAGTGTTTGTGAAGTGA